CGCGCCGTCTCTAGCCCGCCCGCCGCGCGCAGTCCGACCTCTGCCACGCGCCCCCCGCGCGCCTGCCTCTCCGCGGCTCGCGCGCCACGCGCCCGCGCGGGCAGTCGCTGCCGCGCGCCCCCCCACGGCGTGGCGCGCGCGTGGCGCGCGGAGGTGCGGGTCGGGCGGGGGGTTTGGGTTGTCGTGGGCTTGGGTGCATGGAGAGGGCTCGGGTTGGACCATCGCGGCAAAGTGGCGCGCGCGCGCGGCGGCGGCCGCCGGTTGGCGCGGCGGCGAGGGCGCGCGAAGCGGCGGCGGGGGTGCGTCGTCGAGGCGCAGGGTGTTCGAGCCCCATATGAGTTCCACCGCTGAGTGTTGGAGGTCTGTGTAGTTCTAACATTCTACGTTGGAGCTCAAGTTGAGCTCGAACGTTGCATTCTGGAACTCACGTCAAATCAAATTTTCGATGGGGCCCAATTCGGGTTCCAACATCGCATGGTAGAGCTTATTGTAGTTCGAGCAGTCAATGTTGGAGCTCAAATTGAGGTCTAACGTTCAAAATTAGAATTCAAATTCAGCCTGAACCTTGTATGTTAGAACCCATTTCGACTATAACATCATATGTTAGAGCTCAGTCTGAGTTCTTACATTGAACGGTATAGCTCGCTATATTTCTAACATTGAATGTCAGAACTCAAAATGGCATCCAACCTTGAGTGTAGAACTCAGTATCAATGCAACGTTGAATGTTCGAGCTCAATCTGGGTTTGAACATTGCATGTGGGGGGCGCACTCTAAATCCAACGTTTACTGGTAGAGCTCAAGTTGGGCTCGAACATTGCATTTTGGCATTCATTTCGGATCTAACACTGGCAGCTAGAGCTCGTTTTGAGTTCTAACATTGAATGTGAAAGCTCACTGTAGTTCGACCATGCAATGTTAGAACTAAACCAGAGCTCTTACACTGGATGGTAGAATGCAAGTCAAACCGAACATTTGATGTTACGGCTCAACTTGAGTTCTAACATTGAATGTTAAAGCTCATTGTAATTCCAACATTCAATGTTTGAGTAGAAGTTGAGCTCCAACACCCAATGTTAGGACTCATCGTAAATCTAGTTTTGTACGTTAAAGCTCAATTTGAGGTCTAACATTGAATGCAAAGGCTCAGTGAAATTCGAACAGTCAATGCTAGGACTCAAGGTGAGCTCTAGCACTGAAGGTTAGAACACATTTCAAATCTAACATTGGATGTACCAGGTCAACATGAGTTTAAAGCACTATTGGCACATCACAATTTAGTTCGAACCTTCAATGTTCGCACTCAGAATCAGCTCTAACGCTGAACGTTGGAACTCGTTTCAAATCGAACAGTGGATAGTGAAGGTCAATGTGGGTTCTAACGCTGAATGGTAGAGCTCATTTTAGTTCTAACACTTACCCCTATAACTCAAGTTGAGCTCTACCTTTGGATGTTAGGACTCGTTTCATATTTAACGTTGGGTGAGATAGCCCAATCTGAGTTCTAACATTGAATGGTAGAGCGGGCTCATTTCTGTTACAACGTTCAGTGTTAGACGTTAAACAAACCTCTGACATTGAATGGCAGAATCCATGTCGAATCTAACATTGGATGTTAGAGATCAATTTGGGTTCTAGCAATACATGTTAGAACTCATTTTCGTTCTAACATTCAACGATATCTCGTTGAGTTCTAACATTGAATGTCGTGGCGGAAACAGATCACCCCCATTCAGTGGGCTGCCGAACCACGGCAGGCGCGCGACGAGCATAGATGGGTGTAGCATTGACAAGAGCTCACCCTTGATTGCACACGCGTCCGTCAATGCGCCTTGTGCCTCCTATGCGGGGCAGGACGAGTTGGCTCATGCGCGGTATGTTCACGCGCTCATGCTGCGGCAACCCAAGCGTAAGGTAATGTTTGGGTGCCGTTGGCGGCATTGGGTGTCTTGGGGTCCTCGGCGTTTCTGGCTGTTCTTGGGCAGTGTAGGCGTCTGGGCATGATGTAGGAGGCCTTCGCCGTTTCTGGGTGCTCTGAGTGTTTGGGCAGTCTTCGGCATTTGGGACCTGAGGTTTTCTTGGTGAGTGTCTACGGGCCTTAGTTGTCTTTGGCTGGTTTAGGGTCTTGGGGTATTGAGTATAGAGGGTGTCTAGGCTGCTTTAAAAGTGTTTGGGTGTTTTGGCCTTGTGGTCATCTACTAGTTGTTGGTTTTTGGCGTCGGGTGCTCTAGGGTTTCGGGCACTTGAAGGTTCGAGGGCTTCGGCGTGTGAGTCTTTGTCGTTGTTCATTCGCACGTGTGGTTCAGAACCACACTGGCACAACACGTTGTGTTCCGTGGTATTGCCATTTTTCTCAAAGATGTGCACAGATTTTTCCGTTCTTGTACAGCATCCCCAAGGTTGATTCCATGTCTGAATCCCTTGATGCGAAAGTCCATGGTCGGATTGATATCATCATTCGAGATCCCGACGTGTCAGTTTCCGTTCATAAGATTCTCAAAACATCGATGCCGCTTACCATTCACTTCTTCGGCAGTAAGATAGACTTCACAGAGGAGGACGCTCGCAAGGTCCGCGATGTCTCCGAGCGCATTGCTGCTGAGATCGACGCCGCTGCGTCGAAGGAGGGCACTGGTACGGGACAGCAGTTCCCACCTGCAGCGCCCGAGCAGGAGGTGATCATGAGCCAGTGGAAGATGTCTATCGTCGAGGACCTGGCGCCTCCTCAGGCTGTGGTTCCTGCCGGAGCACCTGGCGAGCCCCAGCCACCCGAGCCCGCCGCCGAGGCCATGGCGGCGCAGCCCAGCGCCGTCCCAGAGCAAGGTCCGCAGCCGAAGACGCCGTGGCTTCAGAAGCTGCGTTCGAAGCCTGCGCAGGTGTTTGGGCTTGGGTTATTGCCTTCTGCGTCGGGCACGATTGACATCAGCGGCGATAGTCAAGATGATTACGCATCTAGCACAGGCGCTGGGACAGCTGATCCTGGCAAAGGATCTGGGGCAGGTGACGCTAGCAACCTTCCTCAGCAAGAGCCTCCAGCACCTCCCGAGCTGCAGGAGCAGTTGTTGAAGGTCGCTGAGAGGAAGAGGACCCAGCCACAGCAGCACAGTAGCAAGCGATCTCGGTCATCCAAGTCAGCCTTGCCACCTGATCTCCCTGACGAACTGCCGCCCCACGCGGATGAGAACACCCAGCTCTTCCAGAACCAGGTGGAGCCTTTCGCTGGCCAGCGTCTCGTGACTCCGTCTCAGGTCTTGGGGGAGCTCTCAACGGGAGCTCCATCCTAAGCCCGCGTACTTGACTTGGCATCGATTCGGGGATGGGGAGCTCAGACTGGGAGATGGTTGAACATGGATTGGTGATTGTGGCCCAGTTCCGAGGGCATGCGACGGAGCAGAGAGTTCGCTCAGAGAGGTGGCAACTTTTTTACACTGCGCCACCGCCGAAATATACAACATACAGCGCTGAGCGCAACAGCATTTGAAGCTCGCAAACGCCTCTCGCAAAATAAGGCCAGAGAGGGACTGTCGTGTTGTTGCTAGCCTCGGGAGCCGTGACTGCTCGAAGCTGAGGAAGCTACGGGCAGTGCAGGTTCCCGAGGCTAGCAGCAATACTCTGCCCTCCCCGCCTTGATCATCAGGATCATCCAGCCTCTGTGCCTCCCCATCTTGGCCATCATGATTATAATAAGTCGTTGGAGCCTTAAGCGTCTGTAGGTGCTCTGGGCCTTTGGGTTTCCTGGGGTGTCTGGGCGTTTGGAGATATGTGGGTTCTTAGGGCTCTTAGGTGTAGGCTCTTTAATGACTTAGTTGTCTGTGGGTGTCTGTAGGTGTCTGTAGGTGTCAGTAGGTGTCTGTAGGTAGTAGGTGTCTGGAGGCACTTCAAGGGTTTTAGGTATCTATAGGTGCTTGTAGGTATTAGGGGTCTTTGGGCTATTTGTCGAGCATCAGGCCACGAGCGCTAGACGCTTGGATGACACGATGTCACATCTCAATTCAGGTTCGCTGATCGTGAGGGTAAGTTAGTCTTGGGACCTTAAGTGTATATTTGTGTCAAGGGCCGACGGGCTCAAGCGTTGTTGGGTGTCTAGGGGCCTTGCGCGTCTATGGGTTGTTTGGGGCCTGAGCCTATGGGGTCTTGTGATTTCCCTGTCGGGCCTAAGCCTAAGGACTCTTGGAGCCTAAGCCTTAGGAGTCTCAGGAGCCTTCCGTGGTTGAGAATATGTGGCGATACGTCTGGTTTGACAGTGAGGCGATTAAGAATCTATGAGGTGATGCGTCCAGCTTGACAGTGAGGTGATGCGTACAGCTTGATCGTGAGGGATGCGCGTCCAGTTTGACAGAGAGGCAGTTCTTCACAAGATGATGGGGTTCCATTGCCATCCTGCTTGGAACATTTCCATCCACCTCCTTACCCGCATTTCTGGTATGACCACTTTCATTATTGAGCCAGTTCTTCTTCTCATTCGCCCTCCTGGGGTTGCGAGCGGACATGCCAGCGGTTTCATTCGAATGTGATGGAGTGGGGCTCCCATTGCTGATGAAGTCTAAGTGGCTTGAGGAGGGCGATGCACGATGCACGAGCAAGCACGGACAAACACATGTACATACATCAGCACTTCATGACATCACGAGCGCATCACTGCAACAAAACATGACAACCTAAAAAAAACAAGCATGCAATTGCAGCCGTACGCACGCATGACACGCGACCTTGCTAATGAGAGCGTTCACCCCGTTGTCCCCTGGTTGGTGTTCGGAAGGGTCCGATGTGTTGAAACTGACCTTGGTAAACCTGCCTAGGGTCACATATTTCTGTCGGAGAGAAGTGCGTGCGAGGAGGAGGAGGATGAGAGGAAGGGGGATGGGAAGCAGGAGGAGGGGGAGGAAGACGAGCGTAAGCGGACCTCACGTTCTCTTGACTGACTGACTGACTGACTCGAAAGCTTACTGTGTTCAGACTTGTATCCACAGCGTGTTTGTGCTGCAAGTTTTTGACCCAAGGTCTCTGATATTTACCAGTTCTGCGTCCCGCGCCTGTTTGTCTCTATGGCAAAGAAGGGCTCTGGCAATGCCGCAGCGTCAGAGGGTCGCCCTGCGAAGAGGTCGAAGGGCAGCGCCTCACAGGAGATGCCTCACTCTTGCATCGGTGGTCAAGGGACCTGTGACAAGCCAGTTGCAGGGAACACTGATCTGTGCCAGAACCACCTCAACGTTCATGCCCTTGCCTTCGGATGGTTGACGCTGGACGAGTTCAAGCAACAGCTGCGGATCGATTCCGCCTTCAGCAAGCAGGTCGAGGCTGCCTTGCGCGTGAAGCTGGGCCTCGAGGAGAAGAATTTTTTCGCCGAGGATGTGACCATCGATTGCATCCAGGGCGTGCGGGCTTTCAAGCGTCTCAAGGGTTTCACCGTCAAGCGCTTCACTGAGGTGTTCGGCAAAACTCCTCAGCAGTGCGGCAAAATGATCAGGGACCTCGACGACGGGAAGGGCGGGAAATTCAAGGGCGCGTGCTTGGAGGACGAGTCGGAGCCCGACGTGATCTACGAGCTCTTCACGACTACGTTCAAGCATCGTCAGCAGTACAAGCAAATGGCTGACAATCAGTTGCACGCGACTCAGGCCCAGTCCATTTTCACGAAGGTCAAGCTTGACGAGTTCATAGATAGCAGCCCCTACCACAACGCGGCTTCCATGGGCGACATCCGTCATAAAGCATCCCTGAAGGCTGACCGTGAGGAATCTGATGATGATAATGCCAGTGGTGATGACGGACAGAAGTCTCTTGATGGAGGCGCGCGGACTGCAGTGCCGCTCTTGACAGCAACTCCACCTACAGCAGCACCGAGGCGAGCTTCCAAGGGCGGTGGCAAGGGGCGACGTGGTGCACCCACGGCGCGCGGCGCTTCAGTGCGAACAGGTCCGAGGGGGCATCCTGGAACGACTTCCGATGCGGGCAGTGCGAATCAGCCGTCTTCTTCTCCAGTGGCATCTGAGGCCATGGCGCTCGTCCAGGCGAAGATGCATACCACCCAGATCGCCGACTGCTTGCGGAGCAACACTGGTCGTTCGATGGGCGGGGCGGACGTGCTCAAGGAGAAGCTTCGCAAGATGGGAGCTGTCGTCGAGCTGAAGATCTGGGAGGACCATGAGGATCAGTACGTGGCAGCCCAGAAACTCAAGTGCATGGAGATCGCGACGGTCAATCGCTCGGACCTGGACGAATGTCTTGCGAAGATTCGCGAAGTTGAGTTCCCAGAGAAGTTTCAGAGAGCCATCCTCGAGCGCTCGGTCTCCGACCTCGTGGAGGAGCCTGTCCTGGATATCGAGAAGTTCTTCTCCATCATGAATCCGCTGAGCTCGACTGAGCTGACCTTCGACCCCGTGCTCCCGACGCTCAGCGCCATCGCCATCAGCCAGGAGGAGAAGGCCAGACTTTTCTCCGACAGGCTGATCGTTCGCTACCTTTTGAAGCTGATCGAGAAGGGTGAGGATAAGAAATCTGATGCCGAGAGGTTCGCGCTGTACGCCATCGAGTGGCTCGATACGAAGATTGACGATCAGGATGTGCATATCAGCCCAGAGGTGGACGAGATGTTCAGTACTTCCCTCACGATCTGCAAAGCTTTGTGCTGCATCATAGATCACATCAAGGTCGCTGGGAAGTCCGCCGTTTCTCGTTTGGTTGATGCTGCCAAGAAGCGAGGCGCAAAACATTCCATGGCTGGACTCGTCTTCAACGCGATGAAGAGCAACCAGTGGTATGCCGCACAGTATAAAAAAGTTCATGGACAACATCGTAGGCCTCGAGAAGTGGGGCGATGTGATTCACAAGCGCACGATGGAGATCGTGCAGAGCAACTCGATGGATGTGGACCCGTATGTCGTCTTGAGGGAGCTTGGTGAGATGAAGCGGGATCTTGATGCCAGTGTTTGGCGCCCATACGCTGACTCCATCGAGAACTGGTTGCTCCACAGGTTTAATTTCTGTGACATGCGATCGACGGTCAGCGAGGTAACGTCCCCTGCCAAGCAGAAGGAGCTCGCTGACATCATCCTCGACCAGCTTCGCTTGATGAAAGGCTTCTTCCCTGGCAGGAAGGCCGAGCTCGAGGCTCACGAGGCGACGGGCCTTGACTTGAGGGACTCCTTCGCCAACGGTGAGCTGCTGGTCCAGGCGGTGGAGCTGCTCAAGCAGTTCACGGTCCAGGACCCCAAGATCGTGCTGTCCCAGAGCCAGTGGGACGAGGTCGCGAAGGTGGTGGCGCTCGTGCCCCAGGCTTTCGCTAAGGCTTGACAGGGCGAGGAGGAAGACGAGGGAGGAGGAGAACACGGGAGGAGGAGGGCGACACTGAGGAGGAGGAGGGGCAGGAGGAAGGAGGAGGAGGAGGAGCCTGCGGGGAAGGAAACGGGAAAGGCGATGAGAAGGTGAGGGGGGGAGGGGGAGAGGACGCGCGTGAGCAGCAACCGTGGGTATAAAATGCCGGAGGAGGAGGGAGGAGGAAGAAAGGAGGACGAGGGACGAGGAGGAGGAAGACGAGGAGGAGGAGGGGGAGGAGGAAAAGGAGTAGGAGAAGGAGAAGGAGGAGGGGGAGGAGGAGGAGGGAGAGGAGGAGGAGGCCGCCTTCGCCTCCCTCCTTCTTTCTTCCTCTTTTCTTCCGCTGATGCTGTTGCTGCTCCTCCTCCTTCTCCTCCTCCTTCTCCTCCTCGTCTTCCTCCTCCTCCTCCTCCTCCTCCTCCTCCTCCTCCTCCTCCCCCGCCTCCTCCTCCATCCTGCTCCTGCTCCTCCTCCTCCTCCTCTCTTTGTTTTTCACTTCCCGTCTAGTCGCCCTGCTCTTCCTCATCCGCCTCCACCTCCTCCTCCTCCCCCTCCTCCTCCTCCTCTTCCTCGTCCTCCTCCTCATCTTCCTCCTCCACGTCCTCCTACTCTTTTTCCTTCCGTCGTCATTCTCGTCGTACTCGTCGTCGTGATCCTCCAGGTGTTCGCTGCCTCCTCTTCGTTATCCTCGTCCTCGTCTCTATTCCCACTCCCTCCTTCTGCCCCTTCCCCTCCTCCTCCTCCCAACTTGTTTTTCCTCCTCTTCCTTCCATTATCCTGTATCCACCTCCTTGTTCTCCAATCCTCCTCCTCCCTATTCCTTCAACCTCCTTCTTTTTCTCTCTGTCCTTCTCGTCGTCGTCGTCGTCCCCCCCTCCTCCTCATCCTCCGTCTTTCTCCTTCCTCCTTCCCTCTTGTCCACCGCCCTCCTCTTTTTCCTCCTCCTCCTCCTCCTCCTCCTCGTCCCCCTCCTCCCCCTCCTCCTCCTTTTCCTCCTCCTCCTCCTCCTCCTCCTCCTCCGCCTCGCGCCCCTTCCGCCCAGGCGCGGGCTACCGACGAGTTCCGCGATGAGATGCAGCAGGTGTTCACTGCGTCGCTGGAGCAGCTGACGCTTGCAGAGGATACTGCGTTCGCCGACCTGTGCTCCACGGCGCAGAGGTTGTGGACCAGCATCGGCCAGTGGGGGGTCAGCCTGGACAGGCTCAGTGCGACGGTGCGCATCCTGGGCTTGACCTCGCGGATGCTTGTGGACCAGAAGGCGTTCCTCGCCACGGGCAGCACGCCCGCCATCCGCGGGAAGCCTGCTAACGACCGTGCGCTTGTGACAGCCTTTATGGTTGCGACGACTGCCTTCGACGGACTCGAGCCTGCTGCAGAACCGCTGCAGCAGAAGGTGGACGCGGCCTTGACGAGCGCCAAGGCGTTGCTGCAGGCGCAGCAGGAGCACGACAACACCGAGGCTCTCCACCAGGCGCAGGCGTGCTACGAGAAGCTGGTGGCTCTGATGGGCAAACCACTTGGCGAGCGCGAGGTCCCGTGGAGGAGGGGCTTGCTCGGCGACGCGTCCTGGAAGGACTTGCAGAGCCGAGCCGACGACAAGCTCTTCGTCATCGACGGAGGCCACTTCGATCACGCGCTGGAGTCGTTCAAGGCAGGGGTCCAGCTCCTGGAGGACGACCACAGCTTCTACAACAAGAAGGTGCCAGATGAGCTTGCGAATGTGTACGCGTACACATCGGCTGTGGCGACGGTGCACCAGGTCGAGGGCTCGATCTTGCACCACATGGAGGATGAGGAAACGATGAAGAGCGCCGTCCGCATCAGGCGCGTCGTGAACGCAGAGTTCAAGAAGCTCGAGCAGGCGAAGCTCAGCAAGGACGCCCTCCACGAGACCATCCTGGTCGTGGCGGAGCATGCGCGCGAGCACGGCGAGTTGCCGCCGTAGACGCTCGCGGCTGGATCGCCGCAACGACGGCAACAAAAAGGGAGAGGATGAAGAAGAGGATCAGAAGGAGGGAGAGGGGGACGGAGGAGAAGAGAGGAGAGTAAAAGGGAGGGGGGAGGAGGACGAGGAGCAGGGACGGAGGGAAGGAGGGAGGCAGGCAGGAGGAAACCTAACACCACCCAGGGGGAACACACGGAGGAAGCAACTCGACCGAACGGCTGGCATGAGGCGTCTAAGCCCTCATGTTCCTGGAGCCTCGGAGCGCCTGGCGCCTGGAGGCCGTGACGCACTTTCACCTCCTCCCTCCTTTGTGCTGCTACTGCTGCCTGTCAGCTGCCTTCCCCTTTTCTGCTCTTGCTGCTGGTTCTGCTCCTGCCACTCTGACTCCCTCTTTACTTCTCTCGTGCTCTCCCTCCTCCTTCCCTTCCCCTGCTGCCCTCCTGGCCCTCCTCCTCTTCCCCTGCTGCCCTCCTCCTGCCCTTCCCCTGCTGCCCCCCTGGGGGTGGGAGCAGAGCAGAGGACAGCACGGGAAGGAAAACAGGAAACAACAGCAGCTTGATGAGCATGATGTTTCGTTGCTTGACTCTCTCTCGTCGGCTGGTCTCTCGCGTAACTGTGGGGGGGCAAGTTTCCTGGATGACATCGGTCCGCACATCGAGTGGGATAGGCCAAATCGCCTGTGTAATTTTGAGGTATCAAAACCATATTCAAAACCTAATTCCTACATTCACACAAAACCATAATTTTCGTACAATTTTTAGCTAATTTATGGTTTTTCATACGAACCCCTCTCTCTGAGGCGCTCGCCCTCACAACTCCAGGGGGGGGGGGTAAGAGGGCCCGCGCCGATGGGCAAAACAATAAGGAAGAGAACGATCACATTCGGGGGGGAGGGGGCGTGCCCACGACTTGTTCCCCTCCACCGTACGTCCGCCCCGGACGCTGCCCACCCGCCCCATGCGGCGTCCGCGGACGCGGGAGGTTCTGCGGGCGCGGGCGCGGCGGAAGCGCCTGCGGCGCGGCCGCCCACAGGGGGGGAGGGGGGGGAGGGGAGGGGAGGGGAGGAGGGGGGAGGGGGAGGGGGAGGAAGCGGGGGGGGGGTCGGGAGGGACGAGAGACGAGGGAGAGGCGGGAAGGAGACAGGGGAGGGAGAGAGGAATGAGGAGGAAGAGGAAAAGGAGGATGTAGGAGAGGGAGGGAAAGGGAGGAGGGGGAGGGGGTCGAGGAGGAGGGGGGAGGATGAGCAATGGGAACGCGGAGGAGGGAGGGAAGAAACGCAGGCCCGATGCTTTCCGCAGCCACCCGAAACTAAATAGGGAACCACGGGATAAAAGAGCGGCGAGCCCTAGCTGCTAGGGCTATCACCGTTTACGGGGGGCCCTGTGTGCGGGTGATGACCAGCCTTGATGTCATTCAAAGCATTGATTGCTACGCTGACGGCTGATCTGCCAGGTGGCGGGACCATCTCAGCGGTCCATCAGCACAGGGGATGGCCTGGTGCATGCTGACTCACCGCACTTGCACAAAAAGCAAGGACGCCCGCAATTGAGATAGTAAACAAGAGCGCTTGGGCTGGGTTTCGCCCGCCCGCGGGGCAACGCGACCACAAAGCCAGAGCCCCCACAGGCCCTGCGCGAGACGAGCCCGAAACGAGCCATGCGAACGCCAACTCCGAACGACTGCTGCCAGGCCCCCGCAAACCGTGCAGCACTGGAGAAGCACCATTGAATACGGCCCAACTGCCGAAAAGAGAGACTGGCGGCAATCCAGCCGACTACCCACCCGAGCCTCCCTCCATCCCTCCTGTTCGTCCTCCTGCTCCTCCCCTGTCATCCTCCTTGTCCTCCATCTCCACCACCTCCTCGTCCTCCTCCTCCTCCCTTTTCCCCCCCGCGCCCTCCCTCATGCCTCTCTCAGCGCCTAGACGCGCTTTGCGCCTCGGGAACAAAACAAGTCTAGAGACGCTGTGCGCCACGAAAACAAGCAAATGGCTTTTTTCCCCCAGCGCCCGGCCAACAACAAGCACGACTGGGATAAGACACTACGTAGACCGACGATGCAGACGTGCAAAGCAGAATGAAAGGGACACGGCTTGAACCACATGGAAGGGAAGGAGCGGGATGAACAACCACCCGATATTGATCAGCTGCTCTGGGCACCGCGGTGCGTTGATCTGGCAGCCTCTTCAAGCTGCTACACGCTGCGCCAGAGAGGGGTTCATGATTGAAAGCCAGCCTGAGGAGCGTCCCTGCGTCCAGGTATCCCTGCGCCTGCGCCCCATGTCCCTGCGCGGGGCCCCCCTTCTTGCGACCCGACACACGTTCTCGCGTCCTCTCTCTATCTCTTTCTCTCTCTCTCTCTCTCTTTTTCTCTCGCACCCTCTCCCATCTCCTCCTGCCATTCCCCCACCCCAAAACCATTTCCAGTGGACTTGGCCAGCGCCACAGCGCGAGAGGTGGAGGAGCGAGGGGGGACTGGAGGATCGAAGTGTGTGAGGGCGCAAGGGTTTGGAACGCAGTCTGCTCCCACATGCTGCAGTGGGCGCATTCTGCTGCCGCTCTGTGGACAATGGCTGTCGCATTCTGCTTCGATCCCTGCCTCCCAACCCTGATACTGCCCCCCATGACTAGCCTGCCTGCTAGTGCTGCGCTCTGCACAACACCTCGGACGATCAAATTGTATCCTGCGTGGCCAAGGCATTTTGATGCCGCTATCTCGACAAGTCGCTATGGCAGTATGCGACAGAGCCCGTGATATGGCCGCGGGAGTGGCGGCTATCTTCCTCAGCCCATTCATCCGCTCATCGTTCACGAAGCCTGTATTCTCCGGGTGAGGTCGAGAGGCTCATCCAAGATGAGCGCACCCTTTATAAGCGACAGGAAAGCCAATAGTGGGCCAACTTGCACACCAGCACGTGATGGATATCGCACTCGCGCAGTCGCGGCCCGCATGAACTATCCATGGTATTTTTGGGGTCGGACTTTCTGGTGAACAACTTTGCGAAACCCTCCGGATACCAGAGCTCCACTGCTCCTTCCTGCGTGTCGCCCTCGGTGGACGCGAAGTCCGCGTTCCTTCAGCACGCTCTCCACGCCTATCTCATGAGCACAAGCGGTTTGAATTAGAAACGCACCTGGGCTGTGCTGCGAGTTGAAGTCCGCGGTGTAGCTCTTGTCACGAAGGGGGAATGTGGCGGCGGGGGTCCTCTGCAACAGCTGCAGCTGCCCATCCAAATTGAGGATATCCCCCTCGAGTGTCCATGACAATGCTTCGATGCCCGTGATAGCCTCCAAGACGAGCTCCTCCACTGCCAGTCACTGCTGAAGGCACCTGAACCTGGCCGTCGGTGCTTGCCGTGTCCGACCCAATGTCATAAAAACCGTTCAGGACCTTCATGCATGGCCTCTGGCATCTTGGCCTGCATGCCCGAAAGAAGCTGCCACAGCCGCGTCGACTCGGCGGCTGCCGTGGCCGCTGCAGCCACTCGCTGCCTCTCCTCCGCGACCAGCCTGTCCTGCAACTCTGCGACCTCTTTCGCGTGCTGCACCGTATGAACGGAGAGCGCCATCTGTGCTGGAGCCTCGAAGTCACCGGGTCCTCGCCGCTCCTCCTCGCCAGTCCTCACGTCAGAGCCGTCCGAATCGCCCAACTCCTGGAGTGTAGGCTTCGTCGCGCTCTCGTCCTTGACTGCCATCTGTGACTGCTGCACCTGCATTGGCGCTACCACCATCAGGGCAACTCGGACCTCCTCTGCAATCGACTTGTGTGGGTCGCCATCAGCCGCCTCCCAGCACGGAAGGGCGTCCAGCGCTTGGCAGGACCAAGCGCAAGCGCACGCAAAGTGCGCCTCACCACTTCGGAGGCCGCCTTCCTGCAGAGGTTCAAGATGTCGCCTGCCTCCTTGAACGCCTCCGCGAACCCCACCAGCAAATCGGCGGGCGGGCCCGCGCGAACGCCGCCGCCGAGCTGCTGCATGATCGACCCCGCCTCCTCTGGGGACTCCACGTGCGCCACGCACGTCCCTTGCCGCACGGTGATGCCACGGCCCCGAGGCATCGCAAGAGATGAGACTCTCGTGGTGTGCGCGAGCACAACAGGGAAGTGTGCCGTCAGACGACAGTGAGTGCAGCCTACAAAAGATACTATGCAAGTCTTGAGCCCACATAAACACGGATCTCCTCATCCTGCTCCTGCTCCTGCTCCTGCTCCTGCTCCTCCTCCTCCTCCTCCTCCTCCTCCTCCTCCTCCTCCTCCTTCCTCTCCGCCTCTCTTGTCACGCTGCTCCCCCCCCCCCCCCCCCTAACGGCGAGCCGCGATCGCCTGCCGCTTCCGCCTGCCCGGGCGCTGCGGCGTCGTCTGGGCGCGGCGTCAGGAAGGAGACCAGGTGCTCGTGGCCTGGAGGAGGGAGGTTCAGTTAGACAAGCGCATCCACTACTCGCAAAGTAATTGCTCGCAAATGGCCTGGACCCGCCACGGGGGATTTACGACCCATTACATCGAGACAAACATATGTGTTTCCGGGCGTGTGCGAGTAGGCACTTTGCGAGTGTGGGACGCACTCTTTGAAAGGTGGAGGGGGAGCAGGAGACCTGTCTTTATTATTCGCGAGGACGCGCCGAAGCATGGTGGGCAAGAACTGGCGGCGCAAGACGCTAAGCAAACGTTCCTGCCAACCGCGCGCGAGTAAGAACGAAGAGCTGCGACATCCGCCGATCCGATGTGTTCCATCCGCGGCCCCAAAACTCTCGCCCCCTCCCGGGGCCAATGTTGCGCCCCGGGTCCGGTTCTGCTCGCCCCCAGGGCCCCACAGCTGGCTCCGGAGCCGAAATCGAGGAGATACGCTGGGATGGAACAGAACATTGAAGGGGCCCTGGGACACACAAATAAATAGACACAAATAAAATTATCCCCCATATTTTCCTATATTTTCTGGGTTTCTGTCTTCCCCTCCACTTCCCATATTTTCCCATATTTTCTGGGAAATCGAGGATTAATTGTGTCTGTGTGTTTTTTCCTCTCCTGAAACATGTCATTGGACTTCTTGGATCTGGGCGCCTGGATCCCAAGAGTTCGTGGTCTGACGGCCTTTTAGAGCTTCGTGAGGGCCCGCGAAACCGAACACGTCTAAACCTCGCCACTTTGCAAGATCAACCTAAAGGGAAACTGGGACACACAAATAAATACACACAAATAAAAAGATTCCCCATATTTTCCCATATTTTCTATGTTTTTGTCTTCCCCACCACTTCCCATATTTTCCCATATTTTCCTCGGGATCGACGAATAATTGTGTCTGTGTGTTTTTTCCACTCCTGACAACCATCGTCGAATCGGAGATCGGATCGCATCGGAACGTGCGTCGGGTCGGGCTGCACCGGCGCGGAGTCGGAATCGAATCGAATCGGCCGCGCCGGGAGGCAGGACGGAACGACAGCGCAAGCATCGGGCAGCACCGGATCGTCGGAAGACCGGGATCGAAGCGGATCGGGCCGGCCAGAGTGGACATCGGATCGGAGATCGATCGGATCGAAAATGGGCCCCGCGGCGCGAGATCTGTCATGGCGCGAGGGGGTCTGAGAAATTGGGCCACGTTTACTGGGGGGGGGGAAGGACAAATGGGCGATGTTTATGGGGGGGCGCGACAGGGCCTTGGGAATCGGGCGATGTTTCTTGGGGGGGAATGATAAAAATGGGGGTGGGATGCAGAGAGGTGCACCTTTTGTCGGGCCCTGAAAACAAGGCCCCTTTGTGGGGCCCTGCAGAAGGGCCCCATCGAGGGCTCTCCTGCGGCCCGCGCTGCCGTCCCACGTGTCCCCCCCCCCCCCCCCCCTCCCCTGACCTTCCAGGAGGGCTAAAAAATAGCACCCGACTTAAAAACCTATCCCAGAGCTATTCTACGTCTTGGTTTTAAGCTGTTTCGCCCAGCTTTTTAGGCTTTTAGGTCTCCAGTGTTAAAAAATAGCTCTCTGGAAGGTCAGGGTCCCGCGCCCCCTCTCCCGCGGCATCGCACCGGAGATCGGGCCGGCCGGACTGGGGAGCGGGTCGCGAGGAGCGGCAAGGGTCGGGAACTCGGGCCCCGCGCGGCGACCATCTGCCGCGGCGCTATAGGGGGCGCCCTCTCCCGGGCCGGGGCGGAGAGGCGCGCGCGGCCGGCGGGGCCTCGGTGGCGCGCGAAGACGGCCAGCGGGTGCAGGCCGCTGGGCACGGGGAAGGCGCGCCGCAGGTCGCACCCGGGCCACTGCGCCAGCTCCTGGCGCGGGCTGGCGCGGGCGCGCGGCCGGGGCGACGACGAGCACCGCGAGGGCCCCGCACCCCCCGTGGGGAGGGGGGGGGCCACGGGAGAGGGGGTGGGGAGGGCCACGCTGGCCATCGCTGCGACGTCGCTGCTCCGTGCTTTTGGTTCTGTTTCGTGCGCGGCTTTTTCGCCAGAGGATCCAGGATGCTCCTCGATGGTCCTCGCCAGAGGAAAACTGCAGACGCCCGAGCGATGCCAAGCCACAAGCATCTGGGATACACAGGGGGCCTGCTCTGCAGACGCACCTCGAGCCAAACCGCGCGCAAGGAAAAGGAGAGCCCTGCAGAATCCCTGATGCAAAGACGGGGGCCTCCGCGAGGCCACGTCCTCATTGCATTATCGGGGTTCGGGGTTCTTTGATCCTCGATGATGGGGGGGCTCTGCTCTCGGAGATTGGCGGCGAGCCCAGGGGGGGGGGGAAGTGAGAAGGGGCGGGCCTTCTCAGAAGCTTGGGAAGGCCCCGGGCCTTCTGCGAAAGTTCCTAAACGTCTTCCCCGGAGACACGGAAAACGTCTCCGAAGGCCAGCGGGCTTCTGAGAAGCCCCCGCCACCTTCTTTCTGAGAAGGCCTTCCTCTTCTTTCTTCCCCCCTTCGCTTGCCGCCGATCAGCGGGCGAAGAGCGGCACGGTCGGTCCTGGGACAGAAGAACATCCTTCAAGAGCATGAGACCCTCCGCTGGCCCAAACGCCCCATGAACATCCAACGGACACGAAGAACAGTATAGGGCACCCTCCCTGAACCGATGTGGATCTTATACCTCGGCCCGACCGTATGACACATCCCTGTTTCGCGATCGGGGGCGCCTGTTCCAGGTCATGCTAAACGTTCGGGGAACCTCGTTTGTTCCATTACGCCAGCCGTCTGTGTCGAATCCGCGCCGAATCCGCATCGGATCCATGTCGACTATGTCGACCATGTCGAGTCCGTGTCGAATCTGTGTCGAATTCACGTCGCCTCAGCGCCGACCCTGCGTCGGAGGTGCAGACCGCCATCCACAGGGCGGGACAGCTCCCCCGAGATGCCACGGAGCCCACGGCTGTCGGACAGTTTACACTCCTGTGTGTTTCAATGCCGTCGCGACTTTTACTTCTTTTTTTTTTTCTCTCTCTCTCTCTCTCTCTCTGAGGAGGAGGAGGAGGAGGAGGAGGAGGAGGAGGAGGAGGAGGAGGGAGGAGGAGGAGGAGGAGGAGGAGGAGGAGGAGGAGGAGGATCTCTCTCTTTATATATACAGAGGAGCACGTTCGGAGCTCCGCGCGGCTTCTGCACGGCGCAGGACCACCCTCCATGGCGCGCGGAGCGCGCTATAGGGGCGGCGCCGGAGGCGCCCTTCGGGCCGATCCCCCAAAGATTGCGCGAAGCGCCGGAAGCATATAAAAGTGTCTCTCTCTCTCTCTCTCCCTCTCCCTCTCCCTCTCTCCGGGGTGTGTGTGTGTGTGATCTCTCGACCCCTCTCTCTCTCCCTCCCTCTCTCCCTCTCTCCCCCCCCCCTCCGGGACTTCGGCGAGGCACGGCTGCCGGGAGCAGCGGCGATCGCTCCGCCGCCGGGCCGCTCGCCGCGGGGAGGCCCGCGCGGGCGCCCTCTCCCGCCGGGCGGGGCTCGCCGGCAGGCGCGCCCGCCCCGCCCCCCGCGGCGGGCATGAGCCGTGCCCCGCCGCCCCCCGGTCGGGCGCGCCCCCGCGGGGGCTGCCACCCTGACCTTCCAGGAGGGCTAAAAAATACCACCCGACCTAAAAACCTATCCCAGAGCTATTCTACGTCTTGGTGTTAGGCTGTTTCGCCCCGCTTTTTAGGTTTTTAGGTCTCCAGTGCTAAAAAATAGCTCTCTGGAAGGTCAGGGCAGGAGTGCCCCTGGCCCAAAAGTCAGGGGGGCGTAAGACCCGGGCACAGGGGACTCGGAAATCCCCGACGAGGTCGTCGGAAAAATGACGAGGCCGAGCCTGCTTTTTTTGACGAGGCCTCCCGCTGCAGACATCCCACGAAACTCCTCCTCGCCAAAATCCGAGGCGCGGTCGTCAAAAAACAATCACGAACCCGAGTCCTGGCAAACCCGGGTCTTACGCTCCCCCGAAAAAGGTACCCCCAGCTTCAGGTCGACGAAGCATGAAGAATCGTTCAGAACTACTCCCAAACGGCAAGAAATAGTACAAAAGATCGTCCCCGGGCTAGTTTTGGACTATTTTTGAATGTTCCTCCTGTAAAGGGACAGGCCCGACTTAACCCCAGCTTCTGGCTCCAGTTTGGACCCCCCCTGGGGCCCTCGGGGCCTCGTGGGGGGTGCTCTCGAGGCCGCCTGAGCCGCCCCGAGAACCCTGGGGGCACCGTGGGCCAGGGGTTCTTCTAGCAACACCCGGCCCCTGATGCGCGGAGGGCGGACAGGACTCGGGAAACCAAGAGGCACCGATGCCGCTACTCCCCGGACCTCTCCCAGGGTGCGGTCTGACCAGAAGCTCGAGGCGAACACAGCGATGGCGACGAGAAACTCCCAGGAGGCCAAAGGGAGGGAGAAGACGGGCGAAGGGTAGCGGCCCGGGTACCTTTTCCTCCTCTGAAGCACAAGACGCGACAAAACCAGGTGCGAGTCGGAGGCCAGCTGTCGCCGGCCAGAGGAACTGTGTATCGCTGCTGCGCGCGACGCGCCCAGCGTCGGTCACCGCTGGAAGGACGGCCCTCTCTGGCCGACCGCGGGGCGGCCCAGGGGGCGAGGAGAACTGGGAGCCCAGACCCCCAGCGCCTCGGAAAGACGAAAGGCAGAGGATCTGCTCGTGCTTCTCTCTGCCCTGGAGGCCGCTTTCCAGCCACAGCGCCATCTCAGCTGGGACGAGAAGCCGAGCCCAGGGCAAGGGGCCGCACAGAAACTCGGGACGTCGGAGGCTTGGGACTGCCCTGGGCTCCGGTTCGCCACCCCTGCCCTGTGTGTAGGCCCTGGCTCGCCATCGCTCGGACGTCCATTCCCCGTGCATTGGGGTTCGAGTCCGACAGGGGTCGGAGGATCGCGCAGCAGCGCCGACGCATCGGCGACGCATCGGCGACTGCATCGGCAACGTCGGCGTAGAGGAAATCGGGCTCCACATCGCGCCGCATCGCAGGGGCAGCGGCGATGGGGCGCGATCCAGCGAACCCACTCCTTGCCATCGCTCGGACGTCCACTCCGTGTGCCTTTTTCGATTCCGCGCGTTTAGCCTTTCGCGAGATGATCCAAGAGAGCAGAATATGCACCCTCATAAAAATCACCCCGACACCATCTGGTAAGCGCACCCAAAGGAGTCGAACAGGGCAGGGTTGCTTGGTAGACGCCCAGGGCTTCGTGCGCTCAGCTGTTCGCAGGGGGATCCGAGGTGCTCCACGAGGGTCCTCGCCACGTCCGAGCGATGCCGAGCAGGGGCGCGTGGAGGCCCCTTGGGCCGCGGCCTCCGTCGGGGAGGAGGAGGAGGAGGAGGAGGAGGAGGAGGAGGAGGAGGAGGGAGGAGGGAGGAGGAGGAGGAGGAGGGAGGGGAGGAGGGGAGGGGGAAGGGGGAGGAGGGGAAGAAGAAGGAGGGGACGGGGAGAACGAGGGAGGAGGAGGAGGAGGAGGAGGAGGAGGAGGAGGAGGGAGGGGGAGGAGGAGGGGGAGGAGGGAGGAGGAGGAGGAGGGAGGAGGAGGAGGAGGAGGGAGGGCCGCGAGGAGGCTGGGAGGCAGAGTGGGCGGCGGCCGCCCCTCTCGTCGCAGAGCGGGTCTTGCGGGGCACGGGCCCAGGGCCCCGAGGCCTGCCCCCGGGGCCAGGCACAGTCGACCCGTCACACGAGGACGCGCGAGAGGGACATGCGAGGGCCTTGTGGACGCCCCTTTTGCCCTTTCGGAGAGCTTGTCGAGCGGGGCGCGGCCAGCGCAGGCGGCCACGGATGGGCCGAGGAGGCAAGGATGCAGGGGCACCCTTGGAAGGGTGGCCCGTCCGAACTGCGCGGGTTGACTGCAGCTCTCCTTCCTGGATCCGCTTTCGGACAGTCCGTGAGCCCCCCCCTGGCGGGCCCCGGGGAGGCCAAAAACGGAGGAGAACCTCGGGGCCCGTTTCCCTCAGGACCCGCTTCCCGCATGGCGACAGCCCCCCCCACATCACATCCCCTGGGGCTGGTGCTTCGCCGCGGGCCGTTTGTTGTCGGTTGCTCTTGGCCGCGGCGGGGGCCCGAGAACGACCCCCCCCCCCGCCCCCCCCCGCCCAGGCGTCGAGAGTGCGAAGAGCCCGGGGTCCAGTCGCAGTGGGCGTCCGTGGTGCGCGCGTCCTCGTTCGCAGCGGCAGTGCATTTGGCACGGCGGGGCTCTCAGCCCAGAGGGGCGGAAGAAGAAAAAACACAAAGGTAAACTTTCGGACGTCCGCGCGGATGTCTCGGATCTGCGCTGAGACCGCCTCCCAGGCGCGCGGAGCGCGCCAGGAGCGGCGCCCGAATCGCCGCCAGGATAGTCCAGCGCCGATCTAAGAAACCCGCGAGGAGCTCCGAAAATTATGTTAATGCGGCTTGTTTGTTTCGACAGCAGAGGGCGCACAAGCAAACAATCTGAAGTGAAGCAGCGCTTTCAGACGATAGGAATGGAAGCATCAGTGCCGATATGACCACCTGCACTCGTGCTGCACATGCTTTATGCACGTCAACCGCGCCCGACGTGTCGGCTAGGTCGGGTACTCTCTTGTTGCCAAAATGGTGTGGCGTCAGACTCTCGAAATCCCCAAATACTTTCCCGCACGATCCGTCACCGCATGCATGGTTTTGGGAAACTGAAGGCCCAAGTCGCCCGAGACATCTTTGGAGAACGACCCAGTCTCAAAACCCTACACTCAAACCAAATCCCCACTGACTCACTCGACGGTTTGGTCACTGCACCGTTTTGAAGCTTTCGACTATCGTCCTCCTCCTGTGTCTGCTCCTGCTCCTGCTCCTGCTCCTGGTCCTGCTCCTCCTCATGATTATTGATCCTCCTCATCGTTCTCCTCCTCCTCTTCCTCTCCTCCACTACTGGTTTCACAGATCGAACACTTGACCTCTCAAGGGGTGCGCCGTGACCAGAAACACGAAGGGAAGCAGACCGTAGTGACCAGGAGCCCCCAGGATGCGCAAAGCATACCCAAGCCGTTCAGCAAAGCATAGACCCTCGAACCTCGAACCTCTTCCTCAGACCTCGAACCTCGTCCCTACTCCGTTCAGACTGTGTACCCCGGACCCCTCCCGGACTCCCCCCCGAGGCCCATCCTGGCAAGCTTCGCTCGAACCATGCCCGGGGATGGAACGATTAGGTGCAGACGGCGCCAGGGTCCCACCAGTGAGCACCAGGCGAGGCCTTCCAGAGTGAGCGCGGAAGCGATGCCCTGTGTGTTCTGCCCCTCTTTGGGCGCCCGAGTTATCCGGGGTAACTCGGGTCTGGGGTAACTCGGGTTCGGACTCCCGAAAAAGCGAACCCGAGTTAACCCTGACCCGAGTTACCCCTGATGATTCGGGGCTCTGGACGCCCGAAATATCCGGGGTAACTCGGGTCCGGGATAACTCGGGTTCGGACTCCCGAAAAACGAACCCGAGTTATCCCTGACCCGAGTTACCCCTGATGATTCGGGGCTCTGACCTCTGCTCCCTCCCTCGCCCCTCCTGGACGATGGCCACGGACGGGTCGTCGGCCATCACCGCCAGGCACAGGGCAGACCGCCCGTCCCCGTCCAGGTGGTTGACGTCGGACCCGGCCTCGAGGAGCGGCCCCACGAGGCCGGCGTGCCCCAGCTTTGCCGCCCACTCGAGCCTGGCTGGCGCGCGAGGGGTGTTTTTTTTGGGGGGGGGGCACGTCTAGTTCGCTGCTGCTGCTGATGATGCATCCTTCTCCTTCTTCTCCCACCCTCGCTCACCAGGAAGGGAGAGAGAGAGAGAGAGAGGAGGAAGGGGTGGGGAGGGAGGAGCGAGGAGGAGGAGGTGGTGGTGGTGGCGGTGGTGGTGGACGGCCATGAAGGCGGGCATGCAGTTACTCAATCTAAAGTCACTCTCGGAGGCCTTTCACTCTCAGCCAAACCTGCATGAGCGACCCAAGAGCAGGAGGAGAAGGAGGAGAGGGGGGGGAGGAGGGAGAGGAGAGAAGGAAGGAGGAAAAAGAGAGGGAGGCAAGGAGGAGGCGAAGGAAGAGGAGAGGAGGAAGAGGAGGAGGAGGAAGAGGAGAGGAGGAGGAAGAGGAGGAGGAGGAGGGGGAGGAGGAGGAGGAGGAGGAGAAGGCGTGCCCCAGCTTTGCCGCCCACTCGAGCCTGGCTGGCGCGAGGGGTGTTGGGGGGGGGGGGCAGGTCTAGTTCGCTGCTGCTGCTGATGATGCATCCTTCTCCTTCTTCTCCCACCCTCGCTCACCAGGAAGGGAGAGAGAGAGAGAGAGAGAGAGAGAGGGGTGGGGAGGGAGGAGCGAGAGGAGGAGGAGGTGGTGGTGGCGGTGGTGGTGGACGGCCATGAAGGCGGGCATGCAGTTACTCAAATTTAAAGTCACTCACTCGAGGCCTTTAACTCCTCAGCCAAACCCCATGAGCGACCAAGAGCAGGAGGAGAAGGAGGAGGAGGGGGGGAGGAGAGAGGGAGAGAAGGAGGAGGAAGAAGAGAGGGAGGCAAGGAGGGGAGGAGAGAAGGCTAGAGGAGTAGGAGGAAGAGGAGGAGGAGGAATGAGGAGGAGGATGAAGAGGAGAGGAGGAGGGGGAAGGAGGATGAGGAGGAAGGAGGAGGAGAAGGGCGTGCCCCAGCTTTGGCCGCCCCTCGAGCCTGTGCTGGCGCGAGGGGGTGTTTTGGGGGGGGGGGGGCAGGTCTAGTTCGCTGCTGCTGCTGATGATGCATCCTTCTCCTTCTTCTCCCACCCTCGCTCACCAGGAAGGGAGAGAGAGAGAGAGAGGAGGAAGGGGTGGGGAGGGAGGAGCGAGGAGGAGGAGGAGGTGGTGGTGGCGGTGGTGGTGGACGGCCATGAAGGCGGGCATGCAGTTACTCAAATTTAAAGTCACTCTCGGAGGCCTTTAACTCCTCAGCCAAACCTCCATGAGCGACCCAAGAGCAGGAGGAGAAGGAGGAGGAGGGGGGGAGGAGGGAGAGGAGAGAAGGAAGGAGGAAGAAGAGAGGGAGGCAAGGAGGAGGAGGAAGAGAAGGAAGAGGAGAGGAGGAAGAGGAGGAGGAGGAAGAGGAGGAGGAGGAAGAGGAGGAGGAGGAGGGGGAGGAGGAGGAGGAGGAGGAGAAGGCGTGCCCCAGCTTTGCCGCCCACTCGAGCCTGGATGGCGCGAGGGGTGTTTGGGGGGGGGCAGGTCTAGTTCGCTGCTGCTGCTGATGATGCATCCTTCTCCTTCTTCTCCCACCCTCGCTCACCAGGAAGGGAGAGAGAGAGAGAGAGAGAGAGAGAGGAAGGGGTTGGGAGGGAGGAGCGAGGAGGAGGAGGTGGTGGTGGCGGTGGTGGTGGACGGCCATGAAGGCGGGCATGCAGTTACTCACATTTAAAGTCACTCTCGGAGGCCTTTAACTCCTCAGCCAAACCTCCATGAGCGACCCAAGAGCAGGAGGAGAAGGAGGAGGAGGGGGGGAGGAGGGAGAGGAGAGAAGGAAGGAGGAGAAGAGAGGGAAGGCTAAGGAGGAGGAGGCAGAGGGAAGAGGAGCAGGAGGACGAGGAGGAGGAGGCAGAGGAGGAGGAGGAAAGACAGGAGGAGGGGAGGGGGAGAGGAGGAGGAGGAGAAGTCGTCCCCAGCTACTTTTGCCGCCACACTCGAGCCCTGGCTGGCGCGTAGTTGATGTGTTGGTGTCTGTGGGGGGTGTTCGTCCCGGGGGGGGGGGGGCAGCGTCTAGTCGCTGCTGCTCTTTTTTGTCTTGCTCGCTTGATGAGGCACCCTTCTCTATCTTTTCCCTCCCACGCCCTTCCGCCTCAGCTCAGGAACGGGAGACGAGAGAGAGGAGTTTAAATAGGTAGTATCGAGAGAGGAAGGGAAGGGGTGTTGGATGGGAGGGGGCCAGGCGATGGGGGTGTTTAGGAGGAGGTGGTGGTGGCGGTAGTGGTGGACGGCCATGAAGGCGGGCATGCAGTTACTCAAATTTAAAGTCACTCTCGGAGGCCTTTCACTCCTCAGCCAAACCTCCATGAGCGACCCAAGAGCAGGAGGAGAAGGAGGAGGAGGGGGGGAGGAGGGAGAGGAGAGAAGGAAGGAGGAAGAAGAGAGGGAGGCAAGGAGGAGGAGAAGGAAGAGGAGAGGAGGAAGAGGAGGAGGAAGAGGAGGAGGAAGAGGAGGAGGAGGAGGGGGAGGGGGAGGAGGAGGAGGAGGAGGAGAAGGCGTGCCCCAGCTTTGCCGCCCACTCGAGCCTGGCTGGCGCGAGGGGTGTTGTGGGGGGGGAGGGGGGGCAGGTCGTGTTCGCTGCTGCTGCTGATGATGCATCCTTCTCCTTCTTCTCCCACCCTCGCTCACCAGGAAGGGATAGAAAGAGAGAGGAGGAAGGGGTGGGGAGGGAGGAGCGAGGAGGAGGAGGAAGTGGTGGTGGCGGTGGTGGTGGACGGCCATGAAGGCGGGCATGCAGTTACTCAAATTTAAAGTCACTCTCGGAGGCCTCTAACTCCTCCACCAAACCTTCATGAGCGACCCAAGAGCAGGAGGAGAAGGAGGAGGAGGGGGGGGCGGAGGGAGAGGAGAGAAGGAAGGAGGAAGAAGAGAGGGAGGCAATGAGGAGGAGGAGGAGAAGGAAGAGGAGAGGAGGAAGAGGAGGAGGAGTAAGAGGAGGAGGGGAGGAGAGGAAGAGGAGGAGGAGGGGAGGAGGAGGGAGGAAGGGCGTGCCCCAGCTTTGCCGCCACTCCTAACGCCTGGGCTGGCGCGAGGGGTGTTGGGGGGGGGGGCAGGTATAGTTGGGCTGCTGGCCTGCTGATGGAGTATCCTTCTCCTTCTTCTCCCACCCTCGCTCACCAGGAAGGGAGAGAGAGAGAGAGAGGAGGAAGGGGTGGGGAGGGAGGAGCGAGGAGGAGGAGGAGGACGTGGTGGTGGCGGTGGTGGTGGACGGCCATGAAGGCGGGCATGCAGTTACTCAAAGTTAAAGTCACTCTCGGAGGCCTTTCACTCCTCAGCCAAACCTGCATGAGCGACCCAAGAGCAGGAGGAGAAGGAGGAGGAGGGGGGGAGGAGGGAGCGGAGAGAAGGAAGGAGGAAGACGAGAGGGAGGCAAGGAGGAGGCGAATGAAGAGGAGAGGAGGAAGAGGAGGAGGAAGAGGAGAAGGAGGAGGAAGAGGAGGAGGAGGAGGGGGAGGAGGAGGAGGAGGAGAAGGCGTGCCCCAGCTTTGCCGCCCACTCGAGCCTGGCTGGCGCGAGGGGTGTTGGGGGGGGGGCAGGTCTAGTTCGCTGCTGCTGCTGATGATGTGCATCCTGTCATCACCGTTCATTACTCCCAACCTCGCGGCACCAGGAAGGGAGAGAGTGAGAGAGGAGACCGGAGAGGAGGAAGGGCGCTGGGAG